GAAGATGTACTTTAAGTTTTAACTGATTTTAAAGAATTTTGTTTTCTCTAGGTTACTAGGTTGCTAGAGAGGAAAAAAAGTGATAAGAAATTATTGCCTCAGTCAGAAGTATAATGAAATTTCATTAAAATGATATGATGTTGTGTCGCTCAATTTATTTTTAATGATAATATAAAAGATAATATAAGATAATAAAAATGAAAATGGCCTTCATTGATAGAGCCACAAGTGCAGTTTGGTTAAAGATATTGCATGTTTCATTGCAAGCCGGAAATCAATGTTTGATGGTCCTTATATTGCAAGTCTGACATCAATGTTTTTTTGGTAAAATATATTGGTCCTTACATTGCAAGTCTGGCATCAATGTTTTTTTGGTAAAAGATATTGGTCCTTACATTGCAAGTCTTGCATCAATGTTGTTGGTAAAAGATATAATGCCATACATTGCAAGTCTGGCATCATCATTTATTGGTAAAATATATTGGTCCTTACAAAAGCAAGTCTGGCATCAATGTTTGTTGGTAAAAGATATTCGTCCTTACATTGCAAGTCTGGCATCAATGTTTGTTGGTAAAAGATATAGGTCCTTACATTGCAAGTCTGGCATCATCGTTTGTTGGTAAAATATATTGGTCCTTACAAAAGCAAGTCTGGCATCAATGTTTGTTGGTAAAAGATATTGGTCCTTACATTGCAAGTCTGGCATCAATGTTTGATGGTAAAAGATATTGGTCCTTACATTGCAAGTCTGGCATCATCGTTTGTTGGTAAAATATATTGGTCCTTACAAAAGCAAGTCTGGCATCATCGTTTGTTGGTAAAATATATTGGTCCTTACAAAAGCAAGTCTGGCATCATCGTTTGTTGGTAAAAGATATTGGTCCTTACAAAAGCAAGTCTGGCATCAATGTTTGTTGGTAAAAGATATTCGTCCTTACATTGCAAGTCTGGCATCAGTGTTTTTTGGTAAAAGATATAGGTCCTTACATTGCAAGTCTGGCATCAATGTTTGTTGGTAAAATATATTGGTCCTTACAAAAGCAAGTCTGGCATCATCGTTTGTTGGTAAAATATATTGGTCCTTACAAAAGCATGTCTGGCATCAATGTTTGTTGGTAAAAGATATTGGTCCTTTCATTGCAAGTCTGGCATCATCGTTTGTTGGTAAAATATATTGGTCCTTACAAAAGCAAGTCTGCCATCATTGTTTGTTGGTAAAAGATATTGGTCCTTACAAAGGCAAGTTTGGCATCATTGTTTGTTGGTAAAAGTTATTGGTCCTTATATTGCAAGTCTGGCATCATAATGTTTGTTTGTAAAAGTTAGTTTGTGTGAGTTTTTTCCCAATTCAAGTCTGGCATCATTGTTTGTTGGCATTGAATATTGTCTGGCAATTTGACTACTTTGAATTTGGATCTTTCTATTGTAAATAAATATAATTTAAGAAATGACTAAGTATTTGGAAGGGAATTTGAATGCATGCAGTACTTTTAATGTTAAATTCAGCTTGCACAACTTGCTTAACAGGTGTCTGTTACATTATAACAGAAATATCCTGTTTGCACTGTAAATATTTAATCAGATCTGGAAAAGTTCTGGTATTTATAAAAAAAAATTATTATTTTTTAAATTTAAAACTTTAGGTTTTTTTTTCATTTTTTTATTTTTTTTTTTAACAATTTTCAAAAAATTTAAAATTTGACCTTTTTCTCCTTTTTTCAAAATCTTAAAAGAACTCTCCTTTCATTTTAAAAATTAAAATGTTTTTTTGGTCACTTAAATGTTAAAATTTTTTACAGAATTTTTTTTTTGACCAAAAAGAAAAAATTCAAAAAATTTTGTTAAAAAACCCTTTGGGGATTAACAAGGGAAAATCCCTGTAAATTGTCAGGGGTCAATGCTGTATTTATTTAGTTATGAAAGTGATATTCCTGTTGGTACACCAAGTCAATTATTATGCCTGTGTTGATTAAATAATTTTAATTTTCATTTAAGTAAAGGTGCAGAAATACATACCCCATCAAGTTCATTGTAATAGAACTTCACAATTTTTTTATGTTTTTTTCCAAGTATTTCGGTATCATTATTTTTCGCAAAGATTACATATAAAACAGTTTTTTGAGTACATGAGATAGCTTCTCAAAAACTGCTGTTATATTTGATAGCTGTCTAAAGGTTGTAACAGTAGCTGAATTTGAACAGCTCAAATTTGACTGCAAATTTTATGTATGATATAAATAAGTATGTTGCTTCACAAATTAATTTCATCAATTTTTAAGAATGTATATCTATTTTTACAAAGTAACATCTTTTATCAATAAATTTTACATAAAATGCTTCAAATTATGCATGTTCTAAGACAGGGCTTTGTGTTTTGAAAATTTTCTAGTATTTGCAAAAATAAGCAAGTGTAATTAGAATAATTTTAGGTATTTTCTCTGTAAAAAAATATATGTAATGACTTCTTTAATGAAGTTTATTTATGATCAACAATCAATCAGGCAGTGTCAAACAAATTTCTTCTAATAATCTGAAATAATGAAGAAGAAGAAATTTGTTACATTAAGGAATGATAATATAGTTGGATGTATGCATTATCCTAAAAAAAAACTTAATCATATAATTTCCAGTAAAAAAATTCTTGCTGAAAATCTATTTAACTTTTGGCTTTAACCCTGTGAATTAGAAACTGTAATCTGTTTCAAAGAAGATATTAAACAATATGCTACTTCCTTGTCTTTACAGTCAGCCAAATTTTCACTGTTTTGTTGTGCTACTATTCTTTCAGAATTAGGATCTGAATTGTTTATATATAATAGATAAGTTTATTTTATTGCCAGAATTCAACAGTTGTATACACCTGTGTTATAGGTGTATAGTGTATGGAAGATCTTTCAACAATTTACCATTAATTCTTATAATGTTTGTAAAACAAAACTCCGAATGCTTGTAGATGACTGCCAATACAGCTTCAATATAATCATCTTTGATTACTATAACAGACCACCGAGAAAAGGTTTAGTACTTTACATCCAGCAGAGATGGTTGTTAATAAATGTTGGATCATCTCCTGTCTGTATATTTTATTTGTTTAACGGTTGAGGGTGTAGGTTTTTATACCCCTGGCACGTTTTAAGTAAATCAAAGATGGGAGGGGTAATGATATATAATGATCACAGTCAAACCTGTGTTATATTATATGTATACATTAAGCAAGCTAAAAATACAACTCATCTCTGAATTCTAGTATTTTATTTATATCTTAATAATATGATAACCTCAGGGCTTACTTTTTTTACACAAAATTTCAAATTGAAGCACCGATGACTGCTTTTCTTTGCCTGTAAAAATGTTTAATAATTACTTTAGTTAATCTGACATGGTAAAACTGATGGTGATTGGTCTTACTTTTAGAGCCAGGTCAAATCAAGTTTGAAGGACTTCTCACTTCTTTGAAAGTAGGACATTCTACATAAATGAGGATATTTTCAAATTTGTTTGCAAAATGAGCTTTATGGTGCAATAATTATGTATGTTAGTTCGTTAAAATCTTACTGCAACATTGGATAATAACCAGTCTACTGTTTTTATGACACAACTACCCAAGTAAGCTTGTTAGTATGAAGGGAAATAGCTCAACAAACATAAGATTCTTGAATTTAAGTTCTTGGTTTGGCATGTTTTTTGACCAGTTAAAAAAATTTGTTTGATGTTGTCTGTATTTTGTGGCTGTTCCAAATAACACATGTGTAGAGATGGCAATTACTGGTACATGAAACGGGTTAATTAGTATTCAGGTGTGAAATCGAGAAAATTAAAATTTATCTAATTACCTACTGATATAGTATAACAAAACAATTAAGCGTAGAACAAAGCTCAGTATATATTGTCCTGACACTGTGACTGAAATTTTACTATTTAACAAAAGTAAAAAAAAAACACATGAAATAAGGACTGACTGCAGCGAGACATCTTGATTCCCAGACTCCAGAAACATATTGACCTTGGTGTTATACCATGCCTTATATTGGATGAGCAGGGTTAAGGTATATTAATTTAGGGGTATGAATGCATCTGATCATATATTTAATTGATTAAAATTTCTATTTGTTTGGATTTTTATTAAATTTCAACAAAAAGTCTGTGAGAAATTTTTAGCATTATTCAAAAAAGTTGTTTCTACATATTTTCATTCTAGATGCACTGCCAGTCTGGTTATGTCATTGCAATGTTTTGCTGAATTTGAAATATTTGTGGCAGGTCCAAACCTCTCGGCATTTGAACACAATGAAAACTGCTGAAGACAAGCTGTGTCAACAATTTTCTGAGCTATATTTGTAATTTTGGAATTCCTACAAACTTCAAACTTACATGCAAACATGTTTTTGGCATTGTATGCATTGAAAATTGCAATTTACATTAATGAGATCTGGTGTGAAACAGAGGGGGGTCCAAAATTCTAATTTCAGAAAGGATTCCCAGTTTTGATGTCAGAGTGCATCCTCAGTTATGATATCAAGGGGCAGCCTCAGTTCCAATGTCAGAGGCAGTGCCCAGTTTCAAAGGGGATTTTATTTGTTTCTCAGTTTCAAGAAGTATTCATATAATAGAAGTGGAATAATGTTTTATGCAAGGGTTAACTAAAGACATTGGAGATAATGGGTGATGCTGAAATGAAAGGGAGATAATATATGAAACTTTTAAATGAAAGGGAGCTATTATGGATAATGAAACTTAAATGAAAGGGAGGTAATATATGAAAATTTTAAATGAAAGGGAGATAATATATGAAACTTTAAAATGAAAGGGAGATAATTTAAATGAAAGGGAGATGATATATGAAACTTTTAAATGAAATGGAGATAACATATGCAGCTTTCCAATGAAAAGGAGATAATTTTTAAAGTATTTAAATGAAAGGGAGATTATAAATAAAGCTTATATATAAAAGGGAGGTAATTTATTAAATCATTTAGACATACATTTTATTCTATTTTCAGGCTTCAATACGACCAGATATGGAAGGCACTTTCCAGATAAAGTTACCAGAGGGAAACATGGGTGTTCCTGATATGATGTTGCATGGGTATGTAGTAAAAAGCCATAACTATTGTCCTAAAATGGTAAAACAATGGTGTATTGGTTACTTTTCACACCTACTTTCTATGACATTTAATGGTGTAACAAAATTTTTTTATTTAAATTACATGTATATACATTTATTAACTTTCTGGGGTTTTTTTTCAAGGTCATTAGGTCAAGCAGTTTCTTAGATTTAGCTGAAAACTAGGTATCTTCGGTTGAGTTTGCATTGTGAAACTTGTTGACATTGATAGCCCTTAGTGTTCTCTGGCAAATTTTGCATTAAGAAAAGATTTCGAAAAAAAATTTCTAGGTCAGTAGATCAAATGTCAAGGTCGTGATGACAGAATTAGGCATCTTCTATCAACTTTTAAAATTTAATGCTAAAATCTGGTATCCTGTTTAATGGCAAGTGTTTTTTCCTTCTCATCTGGTTTATAGAAAGATTGCTTTTCATGCACCTGTATGAAAAGGAAATCTTTATTTTTACTACAAACATTAAACTTGATACTAAAAGTTGGAAAGCACAAAATTGGCAGCACATCATTTAGTTGGAGATATAAACCATATTATCAAACAGGTTCATTTGAAGTTAATTAAAATATAGTCAGAAAAGACTCCCCCCCCCCCCCATGATTATATATGATTGATATGCAATTTAGCAATAAAGTTTATCCAAAGAATCGACTGCTTTATGTGTGGTAACTTTAATACCTACAGTTTTTCCCCTTCTATATAATATCTGATCTGAAAAGTAAAAATTTTCTGAGTGAAGTAGCTGGAAATGATAGTCATTGTACAGAAATATTGTTTTTGAATTGTTAGTGATATTCAGAATCATTTGCAAGGTTAATTGTAAGTTTATAGATCTTAACACAAACAAGAGTTTTCCACCTTTTCTCCCATTTACAAAATATTTTTGGCCAGTTTTATATGGGAAACCATGATTGTGATTCAGTCATCTGAACAGCCTGTGAACTCGAGGTCCCTGGGTTTAAGAGGCAAACACCTTTACCACAAGGCAGCCGCTTCCCTTTGAAATCTTTTTACAGCAATTTGTCCAAGGTTGCAGTGCTTAATACGAAGATTGTAAACCATTCAGCCAAGGTTAGATTTATTTTGAGAAGTGTACATTGGTGTGACAAGTGGTACTGACAAGTTACAAAATATTGTGCGGGATCAGCCATGCAGATGAACTGTATCTTTTACTGTTTATTTCTTAATTTATAAATATTTTTTATTTGTCAATACTTGTCAAGTATAAAATTATACAATTTTATTGACGTAATGATTCATGAAAATTTGCATTTTTGTTTTTGCAGGTTTCAGAATGCACAGAGAGGAAACAGTGCTGTCCATCCATTGGAATACTCAGAAAAACATGTAGGTGTCAATGTAAATACCTGCAGTATATTGTAAATAGTAAAGTGTGAATATTTTAAGTTCAATTCATCTTTGCTAGGCAACATTGAATGAAGAGACTTTCTGAAATACCAAAACTGGATATTTATTTGTTTTGAAGCTATTGTCAGTGCTCTCATTTCATCTTAACATTCACCTCCTTAAATATCTTAAATGGACTTGTCTATTTTTTGATTCTGGACAAAACCATTCATTGCTTAAGGGAAAATTTCAAAATTTGTAAAGACTGAATCACAAACAGTGCAGACAGTCATAAACAGATGGCATGGATGTGCCAGATGACCTTGGTCTGCACTGGTCATATGAGTGTATTTATTTTCTAATAGAAAAATAAGATACAGGCTTTCTACTGGTCCCTACTTTTCCTACTTTTCCTACTTTTCCCTACTTTTTTCTTTTGATCCCTACTTTGCCCTACTTTTTTCTGAAATAGCCCTATTATCCCTACTTTTTCATTTTGAAATGAAATGAAAAAAAAGAAGATATTTAAAATGGTATTTCAGTAGTATTTTCAGTTGCAATTGATGAGTAGTTCAGGTGTGTGTGTGTGTCTCCTTGTGATGTCCATCCTTGAAAGACTCATGGTGCCTTGGCAAAACATTCAGCAACATTCTGGCTATGAGGTAAATACATGAAACCATACTGATTGTTTAAATGATAAATATTTTATAATTTCCATGTTCCTCTTGTAAATGAATGCATGCTTCAGTCTAGTTTGACACTGCCAAGTGCTTATTAATGTCTAAATTTAATTAGGTTTATAAATATTACCAATGATGCATTAGCTGAGGGATTCCACAGTTGCCATGCTGTATTGATTCAAAAGAACATATTTTTTATTGGTTTCATTTGTATTTGTGTTATTTTCCCCATGTCTGTTAGACCATATATGTACATGTTACTTGTATTTTTTAATCAAAGACATCAATCAAAAAATTTACAAGGTTTAAATAAAACATTGAAATGTGATTAAAGCATTGGCAGCTGTGGGTATCAAACACTGCATTGACCAATTGCTCTTGTGTCTGAGTAGAGTTGCAGCAGTGTGACTTATCAATTTAGATTCCAAGCTTTTAATTGCCACTTAACAAAAATCTAACATGTGCAAATACCTTGGTATTGCTTCATCACTATCCATCAGACGGTTGTGCATTTTGTCACAACATGATATAATGTTAAACTTAATCATGAAAATGACAGGTCTTAAAAATTCAAATCATTTCATTGTCTTGTTGGCAATAATGCACAACAATCTGGTAGCAAGCTTGGGTTAGGCTTGTTTCTCAGCTAGATTGTATTTACAGGTGTAACTATGCATGTTTGGCAAATAAATCACAAATTGTATGTATATGTACATGTAACATTTAACATTAACATTTGGCAGTGTACTAAAGCATGCATACATGTAACCTACTTGTACCTCTTGTTGTAGTGAGATTGTTCCTTAAAATACTACACTGTGGCATGCTTGACATAGTCTTTGCCCTTGCAATATATTATAATTTTATGCAACATATTAACATGAATATACATCAGTTTAACCTACATGTACATGTAGCTCATACATTAACATGCAGTCCTGTTCATAAAGCTTTAAGTGTACATCCTGGTGTTGATATTCACAGCTTGTTTGCAATTACCTTGACTATGTAACAGACTAGGATCTAGTGGCTCTCGCCTTACTAATGTGAATGTTCTTAAAACTATGTGCTAGATATACTCATTGTATGTTTGTTTCGCTGATTATATTTGTCCTTATCATTGTAAATAACATTTTGTATTGGTGCACTTATATTTAAAGAGAAATAAAAAAACAATTTCAGGTGCCTGTCTTTCAAGCATGGACTGAACTAAAGATACACACAGCCTGATGTGGTCTTGGTGATGGTAAGTCTTAACTAAAACGGTAAGAAATTCCTACTTTATCCCTACTTTTTAACATCAGAAATCCCTACTTTGCCCTACTTTTTGGTAAAAAAATTCCCTACTTTTTCCCTAGTTTTTTTGGTAGAGGCAGTAGAAAGCCTGAAGATAATATAATATATTTTGTACCATCATTGCCAACATTTCTTCACTTACGAAATATACAATGAAATAATAGTATACAGTCAGACCACTTGTAAAGTTGGTACATGTATTTCAATATGGATATTTTGATCTCTTGTTTACATTTGACATTTTATGGACTATACTTTGATAGAAATCATAATTTGTTTTAAACAATTGGTCCTAAAAATCTTGAGAATTGTCAGAATGTTAATAGCAAACTAGTATTGATCTAGCTTTGAAAGATTTAGAGAGTGCATATATCAATTTTAATTCACAATTAAATCTAAGATGTTTTGTCATTCACTTAAGTAAAAAATCTTAACAGGAAAATAAAGAATGTGTGACATTGGGTGAAGTAATATGAAGTTATTGTTATAAACACTCCAGTGTCAGTGTTATTATTAAGTGAAGGTGAACAGGTCATGTTTATTATACTTAAAGAGTGGGGGCAAAGGTTAAAATTTTAAGTACTTATTATTTAAAGAGAATTTTAAAAGTTAATTGATATGAAAAGGATATGAATTTTCGACTTAGCTTTGCATTTTATTATTACAAAGTTAGAATTTAAATGGTTTGATAAATTTTTATGGCATTCATGGATAATTGCTTAAAGTCACTGGCAAAGTACTCTCATTATGATATATTAAAATCCCTGCAAAGGCTTTGAAGCTGACGGGGACATCAGTAATTGGTAGGATGTGTGATTGTACCAAGCTAAATATCTTAAATGGATTAGTCCATTCCTCAATTTGGAAAAAATCATCTTTTTCAGAGAAAATTTCATAACATTTATTAACTAAATAGTAACCAGTGCATCCATGATCAGATGGCATGGATGTGCCATGTCGACTACTCGTGGTCTGCACTAATTGCATAGGTGCTAATTGCATAGGTGCAATCTAAATGTTGATATAATGTATATTCACAGTGGCAAGAGAACAAGATGGCCATGGATTTTGGTATGCTGAGAAATACACAAGGTATCCATGCCCCACTCAAACTACAGATGGAGCACAATATTGTTAGAAAGGTAAAATTTAGACTAGGTTCTGTGATTATAAATTTGAATTGGAGAACCAGTCGAAATAATGCTGCATTTTTATTGGTCAATTTAAGATTTCAAATTTGAATCAACCATTGAGATGCTCTAGATTTAGACTGGTCTGCAATGTCTCTCCTTTAAATCTGCAACGTTGCTGTTTCACATTAGGTAAAGCCGTTCGGTTAGCTCTATAGCGTTGGACTGTGAATCGGGCGACCCAGGTTCGATTCCTGGATGGTGCAGGTCACTTTCATTGTGATTGATTCATGAAATCCTTTCTATGGTCATTCACACTGTACCTCTGCTCTTGTATGTACAGAAGTTATCAGTTCTTTGCAAAAGTGAAGGCAACTAGTACTGGTAAACTGCTTGACTGCCTGCCCAGGAACGATGAAGTGGCTGAACCGTGATCTGGTAAATTCAATGTGACTTACTGCCGTGATCCGGAGTGAAAACTATCAACACCACCACCACTCACATTAGGTTGGGTTATAGTTATGTTTAACTGTTTGGTTAAGATTGCCATTTTTAAAACACTTTCTCCACAAGACTGTGGGGTTAAATCCTGCAAGGGACTTTATCCTGCCAGTAAAGCTGGAAAGTTGCCATGTATGACTAACAATGCTGTGTGACAACAAAAACTATATTTAATTATTACATTTGTTTAGATTTCTTTGAATAAATATATATTGAATTAAAAAAAATATACCCAGTTCTACTAAACAAAGATTTGTTATATACATATATATAATTATATTTAGATGAAGAGGTTACCAGGACTACCTAGCTCTAACATCCTAGAAGATAGTTTGACTGGCAGAGATGAACTTATAGAGTTTGATGATATATTTAACTGTAAGTAATCAATATGCTGGTAAGAGTTTTGGTTATGTATATTTCTTATAACTGGGCTACCCAGCCAGGTTATAAAAGGTCCTGCTGTTTCTACTCAGGGTCTTATTTAGTTCAGCTTGATTATGAATAAAAGTAGTTTATTTAAGCAGCTGTCAAGTCTGCTTCCTTAAAAATTAAAGGAACTCCACTGAGGTCCGAAGACTTAAAAACATAAAATTTGCAAAACTTACAGATATCAAAAATTTTAATGTATTATTTAAAATGGGAATATCTACAAAGGACAACAAAGAAATGTAAGTGAAAATCGGTATATGTGTGATTATTAGCAGGTTTAGAGTGAAAAGCGTTGTAAGACTTTTTATTTTTTGGGTCATTTTACACAGTACAAATGATTCTTTGTAAAAAATGACCTGAAAATTTGCACACAAGCTATTGGTCTACACCTACATCAATTAGTACTCTTGTCTCAGAAAACAACTTCCAGTCTCGACATGTCAAAAAACCTCAGTGGAGTTCCTTTAAGCATAACTTGGGTCATAAAGAGGAACATAGTTCTGACCCCAGTTTGGCTTGAGTTCACAATGTCTATTTACTGTAGCAAGACACCTGAAATCATTTGGCTACCACTGCCTATTTGCACTTGTTTATGATGCAACTTAAAATTTTTAAAATTTGGAATTTGATTTTAACATTAGGATTTTATATAATTACAGGATTTAGTCAATAAATTTGTTCCACTATTATACTTTTAAGCTCAAGTTGATACATCATCAGATTGTATCCTTCAGCAGTGACCTATTTTAAGCCGGCGGGAAAATACTAACAATGAAACAATTAAGCCCGGAAGCGAGTATAGTTCCTTTACAATACGTTGTTACAAGTGTTCATAAAAGAAGTAGATTTAAAACATTTCAAGTAGGTCTATTGAAAATTAAGGTTAATTGATATGTGTTTTTGCAATAACTCTTCATTATGAAGGAGTATTAGCTCTATATATGGTAAGAGTTGGTTTCCTGTCGCCGGCCAATTAACATGTAAGATTGTTTCTCACTGTTCAGGGTTGACCAAAGGTCTCTGACAAGTGACTTGCTAGGGGGTTTACATGTGAAGAGAAGTCTTTCACACTTTTCGTGGTTGGATTGAAATTAGATTTACAAGAGAGTTGTTCTGGATTGTGTTACATTTTATGCTATTTTAAGATAAATATTCCTAAACATTTGATTCAAATTGTATATCATTTCAGATGGGGATGAGAGAATGAACATGCAGATGCCTCATTTACAGATAGAAAAGGATCTGAAGTTACTGTGATCTTCATCAAACTTTTACATACATTTCATGACCTAATTTCCATAAGTTATGAAAAGGAGTAAACTCTTAAAATTATGACTGATATTAAGTGGATTAGCTCCCTTTGTTATGAAACTGTGAATGATTGGAGGTTGCCTGTGTTTAGTATGTGTTCTCTCATTTGTCTGGAGCATATTAAATGTAATAAAACTTTGTTTTGACTTTATTATTTTTAACTTGATTGTTCAAAGAATAGTTTGACCTATTGCACTCACCCCAGCATCTGTGTCGGTGTTATCATCACATTTTGGTTAAGGTTTTGAGTTGATATCTCCAAAAACCATTCAAGGGAATGGGTTGAAACTTCACAAACTTGTCTTCTGTGATCATCTCATATGTTGGACACAGGTCCCATACTTTTTAAGTTTCATTTTACAGAAATATGCCCCTTTTCTTGACAAGAACATAAAAGTCGAGCATGCTGTCTTATGGACAGCTCTCGTTTGTATTATCAAATATGAAATATTTTACTTAAATTTCCTTTATTAAATAAAGTTCCATAACCCTTCCATGCTAAATCTGTTCTATGGACTTGCCATGCTATAAACTTAAACGATGTGTTGTTGATTTCACACTGAACCTGCTGGTTGTGACTGATTCTACTTGTGTGACCAGTGCAGACCAAGATCAGTTTTCATGTCTGTACTGTCTGTCTGTCTGGTCATGGTATCAGCTGTACATTATTCAGTTGATACATATTTTGAAATTTTCTCTAAATATGATACACAGTTCAGTCCAGCTTGAAAGATGGACAAGTCCATATAAGATATTTGGCATGGTAATGGTTGAACGGATTTTGATATCAAAATGCTTAAAGTGAACAGCAAATGGTATGAAGCCTAGCCAGACTACATGGATATTTATGCCTAGATATGCCCAGCTATATAGTGGCCGCATAAATATGTCAACACTGCAGCTGCTGGTATGCACAGAATACAATAATTGCTGGATACTTTGACATTGGAGGCAATAATATGGTAGAGTCTATGGATAGTGAATGAGAAGAAACTGAAGTGTTTTATGTTATGTATAATATGAAATGTAAACCTATGTGCATAAACGAAGATGACAAGGGATGAGGACTGTTGTTGCACATAAGACGAGATAGTAAAAAAGAAAATGTATACGAAAGGAGGTAATGGCAAGAAAACTTACAACTCCATAATTATGCATGTAAGAGATAATATATATACAAAAAAAAAAAAACATCCCTACATGCATGAAGTTTTAAGATGAAAACGAAAATTACATCTTGATAGCGGTATGTGTTAAGGGAAGAACAAGTTATAAAAGAAGTTGTGACGCTATATGCATAAAAGGAGAAAAGAAAACTTACAATATAAAAACCTTGATAATACAATGTTATGTAAAATAATGCCAGGACAATAAATTTCTGTAAAATTCATAGAATTTTAATTTAAGAATGAGATCAATACAAACCATCACATCATACAATTGGATTTTTCAAATATTTTGATGATATATTGATAAAGTGAAAAGTCTATAATGGAAGATCTCTTATACCATAAATAATTATATTGATAGTATTAAGTATTATTATATGTGAAAACAAACCAAAAAAAGAATTATCTATGGATATTGTTGGCAAGTGTTAGATACATGATCCAATACAACTTATAAATACATATTCCGCTAATAAAGTTATAGATAATAAATATATTATTCGACATATATAATTAAGTTCCAGAAAAAAACACAATTTGCTACGATATTGGCCGATGTTAGAAAAGCATTACAGTAAGACTACCATAACACTCTAAATATCTAAGATAGAATTGACCATCTTTCAATCTGGATAAAACAATTCATCAGTTTTAAGGAAAGTTGATATACAATGTATGTACTTTTATAGCAAACAGTGAAGACCATGAACAGATAGCACATACATAATTAATTGATGTGCCTGCTGATTTTGGTCTGTACTAGTTGCATAGGTTGAATCTGTTCTCACTGGCAAGCCAAAGGTTACATGTATATAATAATTAATTACTTATACAAATGCTAGAATTCAGGTGAGCGATATAAGATCATGAAGAAGCTCTTGTTTTCTTTATATTTAAAGTACCGGTACTTATAACTTGATATTTAAAACTTCAACATCAAAAATCTGTTAAACCAATTATTGGCATTACAAAGATATATAAATTCAAAGTAAATTGAAATCAGTTGGATTTCAGCAGGAATTAATTGATCTTGTTTTTGAAGTGCTAATTGCAAGCTGGTTTCAAGTTGTGCAGGAAACCAACTCGAGTTTTTTCTCACATACAGATGCACCTGTATTGAAGATAAGTTGTTTTATAATTTTCAAAGTGTTTATTCTAAGATGATTAAAACTTCACATAAAAATAATTTTAAAGAAAAAAAGTGGCTTTGCAAGATTTTTTTTTATTTATTCAATGAATTGACTGTCTGTCAAACACTTGTATAGGATTTGGATGTTTTGATATTCCCACACTTGCTGAAATAGTTGCATGGCAGAACCTTATTGTACCATCTGTTGATTTAGATTTTCTAGATTACCTGAAAAAATAAGGAACTGGTAATTAATATTTAATTGATAAGAGATTAACTGGGCTTCAGCAAATTGCTGAAAGTTTCGTATATGTTGTGTTTTAATATTTTAGATATTTTTTTGTCTGGTCTGCCACATTGCTTAAACTTTTTTTTCATGTATATATATATATATATATATGGGAACAGGGCTAAATTTCTTTTATAGTAGTTTAATTCTGTATCAGACACGTACTGTGTATGGTAGTCCAACAAATGTATTTTATCAATTCAGGGAGATAATTCAATATATACTAATAATATAAAGGCAACATGGTTGTTTTCCTTAAAAAAGGTAAATCCAGGAAAAAAACAAACTTTTATTTACTGTAGATCTACATGTTTTTTTAGTCTACTGTACTAATCTAAACGTAGACATTTAATGAAATAGGTGTAGATCTAGATCTGTGCATTTGCAAATGACTGGGTATGATATTTAATGGTCTCATTTCACTTTGTTGACAACTAAATAACCATTGAATTGCCTGGAATGAATGAAATATCATGTGATATGATAATCAAGTGAATAGAGAAATGTTTTGAAATGCCGCTTTTATAAGGGTTTCCGCGAAAAGCGTGGCGTTTGTTTAAACTACTAAAATAATATGTCACGTGCCAATCGGATCTATCCGAATACTGACGGAAAAGGCCGAAAAGTTGCGATTGGTCACGTGCTTGTCATGTGATTTATAAAAATGAAGCAATCGTACTTATTCTTGATTGTCAGCATAGTCTTTGTCGGATTTTCGACTGGTAAAGTAAGATTTCCTCATCGGCATCGTTATAAACAAGCTGCACAGAGCAACTACACTTATGTCACCGAATATTTTGTTCAAAAGGTAATATTTGGAGAAGTTTTAAACAATAAAATTATTGCCGAATATTTTCGACCCAAATAATTCGTCCAGGGCCAGGCATTGTGTGGCAATGTAACGGTTCACCACAATAACAGATGACGCGATAGTTCAGTTGGTTAACCACTGATTATCACTCCTGAGGTCCTGGGTTACACCTTTGGGATTTTTCAGAGACACTTTCAGTGTTTTCCACCTACCTAGAGGTGTACTGGTATCAAAATGTTTCATATGATAAAAAGAATACATTTAGTGTTATTTCTTTTAACAATTACAAACAAGAGACTAATGAGCAAGTAAAACAAACAATGAAAGATGGTTAAAAAGTGAGCAAATGAAAGTATGTGATTAATGTTTTAATTTTCTTATTGTATAAAAGTAAAGTTAAACTGATAAATACTCTTACTATACAAATGTAAATATGAAATATCTATTACAACTGTAATTTGTAAAACCTTTACTTTAATTTAGCTTTTATTTCAGGTTGACCATTTTGGTTTTGAAAATGATGATACATACAAGCAACGGTACCTGATAGCGGACCAATATTGGAACAAGAATGGTGGGCCAATATTTTTTTACACTGGGAATGAAGGGGACATTGCTTGGTTCTGTAATAATACAGTATGTTTTTATTCATGTTATTATTCTGTTAACAGTATGACTACTTCATGTTTACATGTTTTGATAATAACAAGACTTATTTTGAAATAAATTAATGCATTTTAAAGTTCAGGTTTCATGCACATGCTTTACCTATGTTCATGGGACTACTAGAAATTCTAGAACTGTCCAACTGTCATCCCCTTGTTCAAAGTGTCTTTCACTCTACTGCTTATGGAACTCAGAAAATAACTACCCTCTACCCTAGGTACCAATGCACATTGTTTTTAAATTATTGCCAATGGTCTATTTTAACTCTTAACCTGTTGTACATGTATTTCTAACAAACGCCAGTCTAGCTTCTATTTTTGAAACTGTCCATTATCATTCTTGGTGGTAACATGGTGAAAATTTGAAGTTGGTTTAAATAGTTAACAGTGTGGAGCTTGGTAGACTGCACAGTAGTGCAGTGCAGACTGGCCTGGCTCTACACTGATGGCAAAGGATAATACCTTCAGTTCCTGCAGTTAAAGGGTTATAGAGTATTTTATTATCAGACAGCTATTTTTCTACTTCTTTTGTATTTGACAGGGCTTTATGTGGGACATAGCTGGTGAATTCAATGCATTGTTGGTGTTTGCAGAACACAGATATTATGGTGAATCCATTCCATATGGGCCTGATGCTTATAAAGTATGTTGACACAGATTTTATCACATAAACCACGGTGCAGGAGTGTAATAAAGCCATTTAATAAAAACAATATTATTATTATTGAACTTGTTGAATAAAACAATATTATGCTCGTCAGAGGCTCACATAATATGATTTTATTCAACTGGTTCAATAAATGTAGTATTAAATTAACACTCATACAACATCCTCTATTTATGTACATTTGAGCCGCGTCATGACAAAACCAACATAATGGGTTTGCGACCAGCATGGATCCAGACCAGCCTGTGCATCCGCGCAGTCTGATCAGGATCCATGCTGTTCGCTATCAGTTTTTCTACTTGTAATAGAATTGGTAAGCGAACAGCATGGATCCTGATCAGACTGCGCAGATGAGCAGGCTGGTCTGGATCCATGCTGGTCGCAAACGCACTATTTTGGTTTTGTCGTGACGCGGCTCATTTATACTTTGAATGTAGCATACAGCCATACACCTTCTGCATCAATGTTCACTACAGTAAAACCTCTGCAGAGCAAGACCCTTTGTGAGACACAGATTTTGGTTGTTGCAGAGATGTTGAACTTGAGGGGTTAATTTATTGTTAAGACTTTCATTTAGAAGGCCTTTAGCCCAGATTTTCGAATTTTGCAAATTATTTCCGCATTCAATATTTCCGATTAATCACAGACATTTTCCGAATTCCACATCAAACATGGCAATGTTCTGATTTTTATTTGTGCAAAATTTCTTTGTCAAACACTCTGTATTTTGCTTGCATCAAACAAGAAATTGTTGCTGAAGTCATCAAATGTTCTGCGTTGAATACTCTTCATTTTTGCATAAAAATTTCAGTAAAAACATTGCAATTCCACACATTTTTCAGAAATCTGGGCAAAAGGGAATTGATACTGACTATAAAGAGGGTGTTTTTTATTGCTTTACTTAAGGATGCTTTGTAGTAGTTGTACTGTATATAGTATTGTACTATTTAATTAAAATATAAAAAAAATTAGGCAATATGCTAACATATTTATGACATCAACTTATTGTAATTGTGAACATCATTGATGTCATTTTCTTTGTTTAAATACAATGATGTGGTTTGTAAACTTTTGTGTTTCCCTTTGGAAAAAAGGGCTTAATCCTTCAAAATGTTGCAGAAAATAAATTCTGTATAGAAACTAGATAGTACTTGCTTCTACAATGTTGAAGATAATAATCATTATAAATGTACTCATTTTGTTTACGTTATTTTACAGTCACCAAAACACATGAATTATTTAACATCAGAACAAGCGTTGGCAGATTTTGTAGTACTCATCAAGAATTTAAAACAGACTATACCTGGTGCACAGAACAGCTTAGTTGTGGCATTTGGGGGCTCTTATGGGGGAATGCTTTCTGCCTGGCTGAGAATTAAATATCCAAATGTTGTTGTAGGGTAGGTAGAACGTGGAAAAAACAGATATGTACTTTTATTTGAGTTACAAGTATATTCAGTTTAAATATGTACATTATGACAAGCTAAGAATAACTTGAACATGTAGGATTTATTATGCATTGAATCACATAATTATATCATTTCTTTATTAAAGTAACCCTCAGTTGTGAAAAGACTTACTCAGAATTAAGAAAAAATTCGTTTTTTCCCAGCAAATCCGGGGGTACAAAGAAACTTTTAAAGTTTAAAAAAATGGCTTCCAAAAAAACGCAACAGGTCGGCTTATCTATTATGACTGGTAGTGCATCATGAAGCGATTACGATAAAAGTTTGTTTGTACTGGGGGATTAGCATGGAAAAACCCACATTTTCCGAGTTTCGGATAACATCTATTCTGTAAATACAGAAATGTACTTTTTCAGGAAGAAGGAAAAATGGTGTTTAGTTTTCATGAAATGTTCTTGTTTTTTGGCAATCATTGCAGTAACATTTTGCAATACATACAAAGTTTGACAGAGTTTCATTAGCTATATTATTGGAGAATAGTTACGTCAGTCTAGTGACAAAAAAAAATTAGTGCAAAATGTCAGTTATAGCATTTTTGCTGCTCAATCAATTGGCTATATAAAAATGAACACACAAACTACAAGTTTTCTTTTATGATATTTTCCAACCAACCAATATGCACATTCTTAGAGATTTATTTGGAAGAACTTTATTAGATTTTTGCCAGAAGATGTGAGAAATTCTAAGAATATCATTATGAAATGCATGGCATCATAGCTTTTGGAAAATGTAATTACATCATTTCCATTTCCAGTTGGACATAATACTTGCAAATAGATTATAGCCCTGCTTTTCAAAAGTCTGAAGTAAACATATTGCTGATGCAGTTGTAAATTGTTTTGGTAATAGATTATGTTAATATTTGATCAATATTAGGTCAATACACTTTTTGATTCAATGACTGGAGCAATACAATAGTAACAAATATGGCTTCAAATTTATGAATTTTTGCAGTTGAAAATGATTGTATTTTCTTCAGAAAACTTGCTGATTTTAAGTATTTTCTTCAGAAAACTTGTTGATTTATCATATTTTCTTTAAAAACTTGCTGATTTGTAATAAAATGACATAAATATTGTATAATTGTAGAACTTGTATATTTTATAGAGCACTGGCTGCATCTGCACCAATCTGGCAATTCACAGGTTTAACACCATGTGAGGCATTCAACAAAGTTATAGCCAATGTGTTTACATCAGTGAACAGAGAATGTTTCGAAAATATACAAAAATCGTGGGAGATTATTTCAACAGTAGCTCAGACAGGTGATTTAATCAAATTTTGATAAGTTGATATTTTAAAGAAATACTATCAATGAATAGCACTAACATGATTTTATTTTGTTTCTTATAAATGTTTCTGCAGCTGTTTGTTTAGTAAGTATGTAAAAAAACTTATATTTGATGAGGCTTACACATTTGGTTTCCTGGTCATCCATGTGTGTCCTAGCATTAACATACAATGTAATATAATAATTATACAGTCAACATTTTAACAACATAAAAACACAAAATATCCAGGTCTTTTCCTAGTCATTTTGGGAAAAAGTACCATGCCCAGTTTGAGAAATTTTGAATTGTAAAATTGCTTAATTGGGAAAAATATTTGTTACCTTTTAAAACCTCTTTCATGCTCTTGGCATAGTATCTTGAATTGTGCAAAAATTTTTAATCCAGCCAATAGCAAATAACATTCAAAGCATAAAAAATACAGTAAAATTTGACAGTGAAATGTTTGTCTGATACCAAACTGGAATGAGCTCCAGAAAATTTGTCAATTTTGATATTGAGAATTTCAGTTTGATTGGGATTTTTATTTTAAGATTTGGAAAATAAGCATATTTGCCATTGGGAATGGGTCTGTTATCATGGTGACACTGAGAAAAGGCATGATATCATATCTTGTAATGGAAGAATAGTTAGTTAGAGGTGACCCTCATTATGGTGTGAAATTCATTTCATTTTACCAAACAAATCCTACCAATATTCTAGAAAGACATATCAAATATAATAACTTAAACCCAGCCTCTAGTTTGAGTGTGATAGCTGTTTGGTAATCACATACATGCCATATTTCCAGCCACCCAGATAGGTGGGGAATTGGTAAAAAAAAGCAGGGAATTTGGACCAAAAATAAGGGGATTTATAGGGAGACATTACTTCAGATGATGTGCTAATAGGTAATACAAAGTGTATCATAAAATTATATTTTACTGTTAAAAATACTGTTTTAAATATTTTGTTGGTTGGATTTTTGAAAATCGAGGGAATTTGATTCCATGGTAGAAGATCATGAAAACAAGGTCAAAACTCGGGGAATTTTGTGGGGATTGGGGATATGACATGTAATGTTGCAATGTCACATTATGGATTGTTAGCCTCGAATGTCAAATAAAGTTTTATTGTAAATAAATCATGTACGGTATAATAAAATGAATTTACAGTGATTTAAACAAAATGTATACTGAAAGTTATACATGTATTTTATTATTACATGTATATTAATTATTGTATTATACAGGGGAAGGTAGAGATTTTATCAGCACAACATTCAAGTTATGTAAACCACTAGCACACAGCTCTGATGTGGACAATTTTAAAGCCTGGCTGACTAATGCCTGGACTGACCTGTCCATGGTCAACTATCCATACCCTGCTAATTTCCTTGAACCTCTTCCAGCATGGCCAGTTAAGGTGAGTAGTTCTATATATCACTTGATGTATTTAAATATTTATTTTGTTTAAACACATATTGTGGATATTAAATTACAGTAGGTTCAATACTCAATGTATTGAAAGTGTTGAATGATATTTTTTTTCTTCAGTGAGGTCAATAAAAAAGTAATGAATCTACATGAATACAGTATAAGATTCTATTGTAGCCCTTTTTGAACTTAGAAAAATTCTACATCATCCAGACTTTTGTTTCAATATCAAGCTATGGGAATAGTCAAGCATGCTGTCGTACTGACATGCTGGTGTGCTTATAGTGGAACACTACTTACATTAACACACATTTAAGATATGTTTGTATAACTCGAATGATGTCATGTTGCAAAGTTATTACAGTAATGTAGATGTATTATCGATTTTAGTAAATGGCTGTACTACATTACTGCACCACGGTTTATGTGATAATTTTATTTATGCTTGATTGTGAAACAAGGTCTTGCCACTTACATCAATGACAATAGACTTCTGCAGCCTCTTGGAACCAGTGGATGTCAAGGTAGCCAGTACATGTTCACTGGTATGAATATGAGTGTCAATGCATTTAATTCTTTCAATTTCTGTGAAAAAAGAAATTGCATGTTTGCTTTACTCAATTTGATCATTTTTCAAAAAATGTAAATTTTGCATCTGTGCTTTTTTTAATCAGGCAGTTTGCAGTAAGTTGACTCTGCCAGTGGAAGGTAAGCAGCTATTGTCAGATCTATCAGAAGCTGTAAAGATATATTTCAACTACAGTGGTCAGGCTAGCTGTCTAAATACCACACAACAAGCCACATCTGACCTGGGAGATCTAGGATGGGATTATCAAGTAAGTTCTTAATTATAAGATTTTTTAAGAGTTTTGAGAAAATTATCATGTAAAATTGATATAATCATATTTTGAAGTAAAGGAGACAACTCTCTTTAACTCTCTTTATCAAATAGAAGTTTTACCAAATAATAGAGGGACAAGTTTTATCAAATGAAAAAAAAACACACCGACTTTCTCCATTGTATTATTATAATAAGAAACCTTGATAGGATAATTATACAATGTTGAATCTTTGGTCCAGTCATTATAATGTAAGACTACAAGTGTGTTGCTGGTTATACCCTCACAAAACATATTTTAGAGGGACCTTTATGGGTCATAGAGATGCTTAAAAGCCAAAGTTTCATAAATCTTTATTGAATAAAGCTATAATGTAATTGCATGTAGAGAGATACCTTGTGGTTTTGAAGCTGGATTTAATGTATAAACTGCATTATGTACAATATTAGTTATTTGTGCTTCTTAAAGCGCTATTAAAAGAAAACAGTAAAAATAAAAGAACAAAAATACGTAATTAAAATTGAATTTTATTCATCTTACTGTTTTGTTGCAAACTTTACTGGCTCGCATTCTGTTGTCATATTCAAATGATTTTGAGCCTTAGTAGATCAAGCCATCCCACTTCAATTTTGTGTGCATAGCATATAACTTACCCATACATTGTAGCTCTAAATTTGTGTTTAGTGCGATTAAAACATTAAACTGTTTTATAGTTGTTAAAGATCCTGTATGTTATAATTGAGGTTGCATAGCAGACTTCATTGAAATTTTATATATGTATATAATTATGCTTATAAAACAATTTTCAAACATCGAAGAATATGTAAAATATATACTGCAAATATTTGTGCACATTATATGTAATCATTGAAATATATGCAATCATTTCTTATTGAAAAATTTGACTTAGACTTTATAGAAAATTAATTTCTAATTACCTCCCTTTATTTACATGAAATGTTAAATTCGGTAATCTTTATAAACAATGCGTTCTTGAACTTACAATAGTGTAAATCTTTATTTAATCAAATGGGACATGAATTTATATTTTTATGAGGGCCTGGTGAATCTTAAATACTTAGTTGTGGATATCAATTTTCTTTCAAAATGTTTGTATGACTATATAAAACTGTAATGTTTTACATCTCAGGAACTTAATTGTGATGCTGTGATTTTTTATATGTCTTTCATTTATGTATTATGTACTAAGGGTTGGATACCGATAACCGGCACTTAGACGGTCCCGAATAGCGTTTCATAATTTATCTGTAAATACCGATTCTTAAAGTACCGGTTTTTTAAACTGTATTTTCAAAATTAATAGCAAAGAATATATACAAAAATACAAAAGAAAACAAATAAAATCAATGATTATTTACGTCAGTAATATCACAAAAAGAAAGCGAGATGGTCATAGTCGTCCAAATTGTACGTAATCTATGTCAAGGGATATTACTACTACCAAGTGCTCGCTGTAGTGTCGGTATTCGTATTTACAAAAAAACCTTTACTAATAACATGCTGTATAAATTTCACATACTTGATACTGCATTTGTTGAAACCTTTCTGATATATTATTTTTAAAAATTATAGTTACGTGTTATGCTTTTAAACATTTTTGCAATTTGCATAAGAATATTAGAATTTTATAATATACTTATTGTTGATGATGGGTTCTAGAACAAAGCGTTCATTTCACTCCTCAAGACAGAGGTGGAGTTTGTATATATTGTCAAACTGCCTTCCTAGACAAGGGTGGAAAGCAATTTGTTGAACATCTTAGGCTGATAATTTAATAATAAAACAAATCAAAATAGGATTCCCACAGAAATAATATAGACATAATGAATAATGCTGCTCAAACAACTTAAAAAGTATATATCAAGTATCGATATCGATAAAATACAGTATTGTTTCACAAGTATTGGTATTATATCGTTTCATTCTTAATGATATCCAACCCAGTATGTACATGTATATCTCACATTAAGCATTACTAAATAAACAATAGTTAATAGTTAGATTATTTTTATTTCTAGTCTAAATCTAATTTCTAAATCAATTCCTTGAATTTGATGACTGTAGCATAAATTTGCATTCTAGTTACAACTATTTGGAGTTACAACTATTTGGCTTTCTGTCATTTTAAAAGTAAAGACTTTAAATTCATTTTCATTTTAGGGTGGGTCAATCGCTAATGTTGAAAGAAATTTGGTCTAACCCTTTTGCTATGTATCATTTGGAAAGCCTGTTGTTTCTGTGAATATTAAAATGAATATATAGCAATAAAATCTGATAAAATTCAAATTCATTTTCACTCAAAACTGAGGTACATAATGCTATATTGCATTTAAAAGCATTAAGTGTTTGATATCAATACAGCAATTTTGCTTGTTTTTGTAGCTACTGTAATGCAAAGATTTTGTAATATTTGACAAACTGAATTGATTAAATAGTCTACTTTAACTAAAAATGGTGTTATATAAGCAATATAAAAGCAGGCAAATTAAAACTGTTTATTAAGTTGAAAATAATTTGTTAGAGTAATTTAAGTTTTTTTTTCACTACTTATCAGAAAGTAGTAATATTAACAATAATATGCAGTAATTTACTTATACATGTATATTTAAGAAAAAAACTTGGTTTTTTCTTATATAAGTCAATGTTCATGTTTTATTGATCATCAGTTAATATAATTAATATATATGTTCTATTTGTCATCATGTGATGTACATCAAAGTTTACATTTTATTCATCATGTTATAAATGTCAATGTTTATCATTTTACACCAATTGCACATACTAATGACTTGGACATTCCTTTAGAACTACAAAGCATGAATACAAGTTTTTCATCAATGTCAATTTTACCAGAAGTTAAATCTATGGTTGACATGTTTCTTTTTTCGAAGTCTGAAGTTGAGATCTTATCGTCTTTTATAATAATTGTTAGAGGCATTTTCCAATCTTCCTTTCTGAAGACATTTTGCACTTTCCAATCAGTTGCCATACTTACAATGCAGCTTGCTTTTCTGTCAGAGACACAAATCAGTTGCTTTTCAGTATCGAAATATATATAAGCTGGTTGTTGGAACAACTGCTCACCTGCTTGATCTTTTATACAACATTGGATTATTTTTCCTGTTGTATTCAGAATTAAAACTTGTGCTGGTTTACTGCATGCTACATATAGCTTGTCCAATGCAAAGTGTATACCCTCACATCTAGCATCAACGCTGATTTCTGCTCCTTCTGTAATGTCTTTGTCTTCAACAGACATGATTTTGATTTTATTTTCATTTGGCAATGTTAAGGCAAACTTGCTTTCATCAATAGCTGTAATATCCCATGGACATGATGTTAATTCTTTCTCCGTTACGAATGTTTGTTCATTTGCTGCAAACAGCCTTATACGATTGTAAATTGTATCTAGTTCAATTACATTTTCATCTGATATATAGTATCCTCTTGTCATTCCATATTCAGGATAGTTTCCATAGAAACCCTTCAGATCCTCCTCTGACTCTTCTTCATTTTGTACACGCAGTTCACCAAGAGCATCAACATTTTTCAGCATACTTGTTAGAAACTTGTTCGGAATAAAACAATATTTGTCCACTTTGTTTTCTTTTTGAATATCTGCCACTTTTTGTTCAAGAGAGTTCAGTTTTTCTTGATTTTTCTTTAATGCAATGAATAGCTGTTTGCTTTGTTTAGTTTCCTCCAGTATATGAACATTTTCTTTCAGGTTATCTAGAACATTTTTTGTATTATTGGCTGCATCTTCAACTTCTTTCAGTTTTTTTGTTTCATTGTTCTCTTTTTCCTCAGCTTCTTTTGCAAGTTCCTGCTTTTGCAACTCAAACTGCATGTTGATTTTCTGCTGTTGCTTTTTGATTTCAGAAAGAGCCATTTCTCTGCAAGATCTACTTATTGCTATGTTTTCTCTTGCAGCTTTTATTTGATCCTTTAGGTTGGTCTTGGCTGTCTTTATTCTTGTACAGAATTCTTTATATGCAGATGATAGTTCAACATCCTTAGCTATATCTGTGAGGGTGCAGATTTCAAGGCATGGTTTGTGGTGTATGATCATACAAGAGCTGCAGCCATCTGTCTCATGTGTTTTACAGTAAAATTTAATGGTCTCTCCCTCATGATGTGAACAGGTTTCAGAGAGACTTTCATCAATCTTTCTCTTTGGCATTTTTGACTTCCCTAGCAATTTGTGATGCCTTGATGGTTTCGGAAGGCAATGATACTTAAAGCATTGATCACAAAGGTAATGCTGACATTCCACACAGAATCCTTCTGCTTCCTTTTCCTCTCCATCTTGGTAACAAGGGTCACAATATATAAAGCCACTTGTTACTTCCTTGTTTGGTTGATTTGTAAAGTCTACAAGTTTCCCAGGTACACTGTCAGCCATCTTGTTTATGTAAAGTCTTTCTTTATATATGCTATTAAATTTTCCATCTAAAATTCACTTTTATTTGAAGCAGAATCTGTCGCATTTTAATATATAATTTTTATTTTATGTTTCCAAAGCTGACCGTATTGAAATCAGAAACGTTTATGATGGCTGTTGTGGGTAAAGTGCTCTACAAATAAAGTTTATTTGCGATAAGAAATCCAGCAATGGTTTATGGGATATCAGTATAGAAAAATATACTTCTTTACAAAATGTAGGGGCACATTAACCAAGCGTTATGAGAGAATTAATGCACAATGTTGTACACATGTTACTCTAGCATCTGTTTTTCAAGTTATATAAAGCACCCCTAGGATCAAACTGACCCTGCACTCATGGGTCACACAAGTTGCATAGACTGATATTGGAAAGAATATAAAAAAATATTTTGTGAAGGGACAATGATATAGAGCAAAGATATCAAATATATAGCATTTTCCGTGTGAACCTTTACCAGTAAAATTTAAATTCTGTCCCTTTATTCAAAAATGACAATGCCCCATTTTCACTACTATAATATTTCCTGGAAAATAAAAGTTTCTCATAAGAAACTGAAATGTCCAAAACTTAGATGAAACCTTCTACATAAGTGATTCTTAAAATCATGCTCATTGCTTCAAAAATGTCTACTTACTTTACATCACTTAGAAAATGTCATTGAATTCATTGTGAAACAACTTGACCTAGAGTTTAAATCTATATAATGTGGCATTACATAGAGGACATCTACAAAAGTTATATAAAAGATGGCCACATTACACTTTTGTAATGTTGACTTGTATGGGAATCTAACTTCTCAGTGACTTACAATGTACTTCTGCTTCTAGAAAAGGTAGACATTTCTAGCATTGGATCTTGGGTGTCAGAGCAATTTTAAATTTCAATTTATCACATAAACCGCGGGGCACGAGTGTAATCAAGCCATTTTATAAAAACGATATTACACTAGTGTAATAACACTTTGACGTGACGTCATTTTCCTTATATATAAACATAGCGTTAAAGCGCGCTAATGTTAGCGTTACACTATAGGCGCGTCATTGAAAAATTACCATTTTAACAGTTTACTGTTCTTGCTACATATATGTGATAAATAGAATATTATATTCGTGAAGATTCAATACTAAATTATTGAACTCATTGAATAAAACAATATTATGCTCGCCAGAAGCTCGCATAATATGATTTTATTCAACTCGTTCAATAAATTAAGTATTAAACTACACTCATTCAAAATCCTCTATGTAATTATACCCCCACAAACGTAGTTTAGGGGGGTATATAGGAGTCAGCTTGTTGGCCAGTCAGTCAATTGGTCGGTCGACATCATGGTGTCCTGATGATAACTAGAGTTTGGAATAAGGTATTGTATTCAAACTTGGTATATAGTAACCTTATGTGGAAACCCCGTTTGGTATTGCATTTGAACGCCCCTGGAGTCAAGGTCACCATTACTAAAGATAGAAGAATGGTTTCTGGACAATAATTTGAGTTAGGAATGAGATATTGTAATCAAACTTTGTATATAGCAACTAAAATGTGGAAACCCAGGGTGGTATTCCGTTTAGATTTCCTGGTGTCAAGGTCAATGTCATTGTTATTGAAAATAGAAAAATGGTTCCCGGACAATAACTAGAGTTAGGAATGAGATATTGTAATCAAACTTGGTGTATAGCAAGCTTATATGAAGACACTTGTTGGTATTGCATTTGGACCTCCTGGGGTCAAAGTCAAGGTCACTGTTACTAGATATAGAATGACAATCACTTGACTTTGGAATAAACTTGGTGTATAGCAAGCTTATATGAAGATCCCAGTTGGTATTGTAATTAATTGAAATATTACTTTGTACACAGTTGAAACTTCATGAAATATAGGTTAAGTTCAAATTTTTCTTCAAACCAGTTATATTTTTTAAAAAGTCAAAGTGGCTGGTAGGGGTATTAATCAACTTCAGTGATAGCTCTAGTTGTTTAATATTTGCACACCTTTACATTGGTCGGATGTGTATAATTTTGCACAATGTATTATCTAGCTATCAAATATTTAAATTTTATAAAGTTAAAATTGGATAAAAGATAACGCCTGATTTATGAGGTTTTATTGATTATACTTTATAAGTTTTAAAGTATGATCAGCAAAAGGTATTTTCTTAAGTACATGATTTATCATACTTGATAGTTATCAGGGAACACTTCAATCAGGGGTAAGATAGTACCTGTGAGGCAAATTTATACATATATTTTATTAATGCTGTACAAATTGTGGAAAGCCATGGCTGTCTGATATTGTTCTTTTTCAATTTATGTAACCATTTGGATAATATATGAGTTCACTTCGACTATATATGAATTGAAAACACCTTCTTATTTAACCGGAGTCCATTATATTAATCCTCAGTTACAAGATATGAAACCATGCAGTCAGTGTATGAAA